CTGAAAAAGTCAGGTAGCAGCTCTGCAAGCCTTCGGTATAGGGGTCTGTGTTTCTTGCACTGAAATGCATTGAAGTTGCAATCTTGCATGGAAATATACTGAACTGAAATGCAGCCTTGCAGACAACAAAAAGACACAGACTTCAATATTGGCACGTGTTCTGATAGGCATGATCAGAAATTGCTCTTTGTCTGAAGTCTGAATTTGACCTGATCCTATATTGAGGGAATGGAAATTGCCTAAAACTTGGGTCTTTGAGGCTTTTGAAACAGAATATTAGCTGCTCACATCTCTTTTTTAATTGATCCTGCTGTATAGGAACCAAATAGTCAAAGTATTTTGTCCAGAAACTCTCAGTTGCATAACAAGCAATTATATGAAAGAGCTTACTGGTTGATTTTTTGCAACAGCTTTTGGTGAATGACAATTGGCATGCAAATAAAAACAGAGATAAACCTTATGCTAGCTGAAAAATTATGAAGTAGTTATGTTATGAAAAGTAACATTTAACACTCCATTAGCTCATTAAATTAAACTACAGAGAGATGACTTTTTTTTTTTAATGCAGTATCAAAACTACTGCATTTCTGTGAAACTTATTTCTGGTGGATTGCTGTATGTGCTGTTTGGAGATTGTGTATGTAATGGAGGTGTGTATGTAATTTTACAGCTATGCCAACATATTTTATAATAAAATTTTACATACAAATTACAGCTATTTACTGCAATTGGCTATTCTTTTTTTATTATTATTTTTATATGTGTAGCATCTCCAGCCATGCATCCAATGCATGCAAAGTGACTTTTCATCTTATGAGACTTCAAACCATTAAACCACCAAAGAGCTGTGAATTAAACATAGTGTAAGCAGCGGCAGCACGCTCACCAGCATATCAAACCAGAACAAAAATTGCACAGACTCTCAAATATCAAACTTTGGGGTTGATTCATTCAGTGGGTCTGTGACCTGACAAGGCAGTATGATTAATTGCACACATATTCCCTCGGAGGTTTTCCTGCTCATGCTCTCTGCAGCAAAGACTGTTAACTTGACAGATCAGCACAGCAGCCTCTTAAGATGCCAGAAAGGGAAGAGGTTGGTTTCTGATTGAAAGAAAATGGAGGAATAGCAGCTGTTCCATGCTGAGGGGGAAAAAACCCCAAAACAAATAGCCTTTGATTCTCAAAGAACCCACACACAGAGAAATAAGTTGATTTTTCAGTAACTCTGGTTATAAGATTTCTGCTCAGGATTGAGAGACCATATTTGCATGATACAATAGATTCCAAAATTAGAAATTAAACTGTGGTTCCTTTCATTTGATTATCTAAACATAAGCCATGGCCTGAGTGTTTTTCTTTTCTTATTAAACAGTGTTCTGGATGTCTCCTCTTCCACATGTTTGTTCTTGGCTTTAAAATACTTTGACCATTTAACCAAAGAGGCTTGCACAGCACATTCCTCCTGCTCACAGGCAATCCACACTGTCCTGCCAGACCCACTGCGAGTCTTAAATAGTTTTAATTTTTCAAGTAACCCTTAGCAAACTGCATTAGACACTTCCTCAAGAACACTTAAGCCCTACAGCCTTATCTAGTAAAGGGTTTTAAACATTGGCCAATGTTTCCTCTTTCACATTTCCCAGATGGACTCTGACTGGATAACACATGCTTGACAGATTCTTTCATGTAGTGTGTGAAATGAGCTCAGATGCATGATAGCCCTCTGTTGACACACCTGCTCCTGTGGGCATGACACTGCAGCCCTGGTTCAGGAATGAGGGCTCCCAGAAGCAAACTGCAGACAGGGAAACCTCACAGACACCATCACCAGGGCTGGGGTGGTCAGGGGCAGGCTGAGCCAAGGCAGCAGATCCAGAGCTCTGCACTCTCAGGCCTCACAGACGTCTTTGTTCTGTTCTAGGACAGATCCCTTAAAACACACCTGGAAGCACAAGTCTGGAAACTGAGATCTGGACTACCTCTCCACTGTACTTCCCAGCTTTAGTTCACCGGTACCTACTGAAGAGCTCAGTTTATAAATGTCCTTAAAATCCAGCAATCTGTGCTGGACTTCTATCATAGGGCTATATTTATAGCAGAAACTGTGGGTAATGATCTTTTAAAATGTCCCTGAATGCTCTCATAACATCCCTCATCTACTCTGAGCATTGAATTAAGCTCTTCATTCAGTAGCTAAATTTTCTAACATATTGTGAAATCTTGTCTGTTACTGTCAATACCAAAGCACACAAAGCAGGGGAAGTGCAACAAAAAATTGCTCCTATTTCTTTGACTGTTAAAAAGAGCCTAAGAAGCTAACAGAAAAAGCTCCTGTATAAACAAATTGACGTAATTGCACCGCATGAAAGAGAAGGCAGGTCTTACTAATGCAGAGTAGTAGACAGCACAGCAGAAGAAAATTCTTCAATGCAGTGGCATATAAATATTGAATAGAATGCAAAAATTGACTCTGCAGATGGTTCAGGGAAAAGCAGCCACTCTGGTTGCAAATATGTTTCAGAGAATACACCACAAAAACTGGAAATTTGCAAAGCCAAGGAGGAAATCAGTGAATAATCCGCTAGAAGGAAATCCCCAGCTTCCACAATCAAGTACAAGGATTACAAAGATGTTTCTAAATCAGTGAGGGGTGGCTGGGAGAGAAAAGTGAATTTTAGGAATTTCTTTTTTACCCTTAGTATCACACACTGCCATGTCAGGAATATACCTACTGCCTGGTTTTGCATACCAATTTAGATGCTTATCTTGGGATGTTAATCTTTCTGTAAAATAATTTAATATCATCTCTGCAACCATTACTTTCTTCCAGAGGCCTTTGCAAATGACATTTCTAACAGATTTAGATATATGATTGCAAATCAAGTGAGTTGCATCAGCTCAATTTGCTTCTTGCCTTTTGCTCAGAGAACCAGCTGTACGATTCAGCCAGAAAAGCTTCTGGAGCAAAGCTAGAGAGGATTTTGTTAATCTGGATTTGCGAGCCCCAAGCTACTGGCTTAAAATTTCATGATGAATCTGTGTCACCATGTATTTCCTTCTCCCTTGGGAAAACAAAGGATGGATGTATGCAGAAAATCAGGGTTATTCTCCATAGCTGTAAGAAGCTACAAAGTGGAAATAGACAAGGAGAACTTACCATCACCTTAGCCAGGGAACCAAACCACCTCAAAGTGGCAGCTTTCTGTAGTTTGCATAGTGTGGAAAAGTTATATATATATATATATATATACATACATATAAAACAGTAACTAACCCCCTGAATCAGACAAATGATGCAATGTTTCTGTGGGTTGCTCAGGCAAAAGAATAGCAGAGGATGCAAACAAGGCCACAGCAGTGAGATACAAGTGAAATGAAAGAGTATCCTCTGCAGAACAGCCATTTCAGAAGCTGGCAGGCTTTCTTCTGAGAGCTCACAACCTGTCTTCACCCACTGTATCCAGCACTATTCTTCTCGCAGGCTGAGACAGAGGGTATCAGTTTGAGCCTGACAACAGGCATCTCCAAAGGGCTGATGTTTAACACAAAGCATTGGAAATTCTTCTCACAAGGACTATTCTTCCTCCATGGGACTGGAGGGGCTTGAACATGTGCAACCAACACCAACCAGATCTTTCACATGGAGTAACATGCCAAGAAGCATCAAGTTTCTACCTCCACAAACATATTTCCTTAAATTCCTTTGAAGGACCAGCTATCCCAGTGTGGACCGGGACCAGAGGACTCTCCAAAAGTCACATAAGTAAGAAGCAGGGCTGGGAATGACCTCTAGTCACTCTGCTGCCCCTGCCATATATCACCCTCATCACTGGAAACCGCAATGTGTACAAGAAGCCTCATGGAAATCAATTGAGAAACACACAATACAATTCATCCGAAAAGGACACTGGGCAATACAAGCAGGTTTGTCACTGGGCCAACTAAGCTTTCAGGCTTTCAAATCTAGCACTTTTCTCATCCTCAGGAAATACTTCAGTTAAGTGTTAAAATCACAACGAAACACAAGGTATTTAAATATAATACTAAGAATATCAGAGATTAGTACAATGCACAGTATGTTTAGAATTGCAGAATTGTTAATGTAGATTAAAATGCTTTAGCGGTAATCACTCATTTTCCTGACTGAGCCACGTGGCTTTTCTTCTCTGCTGCGCTTCAGCCTTGCGAAGCTGCACAGCTGGTCCCAGGGGGCTCCAGCCCTGGGGGGTATGGACGCGTACCATGAAGCTACTCTGGCCTCAGCCCCTGACTATGGCATGCAAGAAATGTGCCCAGGGAAACAGCCAGAAATATGGAAATCTCTGCAATGAGCAAGTGGACGAGAGCTAGTACTCCAGTCATACACAGTGAGGACCTGGAGCAAGCAGAGAAAGGAGACTCAGCAAGATTCCATGCCCAAACTGCCTTGCATTTTCTGGAGCATCTCCTGGGTGAGAACCTTCATGGAGCTGGTGTGACTGGGATGGGCAGTTCCACAGCAAACACCCACAGCCCTACAAGGAGCTGATGTCTTCCCTGACCATTCCTGGATTCTGGTGAGATGGATCACACCATGGCTCACAGGCTCTCCTCAGCAAGCACTCAGGCACTCCATTTTTGGGGAAGATGCTAGTAAAATATATTCATGTAGAACCACTAATGTAAAATTCCTGCTGCTTACAGCCTGAGGGCATTCATGAAGAGCACACCTGAGAGGGCACAAGAGCATCTGTAGGGACTGAATACCACCGAGGCAATAAAATTAGATCCAATATTTAATCATCTTTCCAATAATAGTTTCATTTTTTTGAGAAGTATTTTTGAGAGATTTCTACATTTCATCAAAATGAATGGGTGATGATGAAAGACTTAGTCTAGACAGAAGTTAAAGTTTGAATTTTAAAATTAGGTTCTACAGAGCGGGAAAAAACCCCAAATCAGCACAGTGTTATGTTTGCCTTAAAGCTTTTCATTTTAAATAAAAAAAATACCAAAGGTTAAAAAACCCAAAACAATCAAATTTTATTATTTTGGAAATAAGGTCTATCTAAAGTAAATATTTTTAATATTTAATATTCGACATTAGCAAAGATCACTTTGTGGAGATGAAATGAGCATCATCAGGGAGTTTCATAAACTGTCTCAATTCCGCTATGACCTGGGTAGCTGCAGTTCAGCACTAAGAGCACACAGCATATTTGGTGCAGTGGAGATTTTTTTTTTGGTAGAATATACTTATTTACTGTCATAGCAGAAAAAGCAATTAGCTGGCATTTCATGGGCAGTCTCCTAAGAACAATCCTGAGGCAAGAGCAGCTCCACCATCAGATCAGACCCTGGAAGGAGACGAAGGGTGCCCCGCAGACCTGCGGGTGTGTCAAGTTTCCCCACTTGAGACCTCCTTGCAGTTTTTTCTCTTCCATCAGCAACCTTGCCACTCACAAATGCTTCTTCTTTTTTATTGCCTCTGCCTTGACAGCCAAGCTCTTGGCACAGATGGTCAGGACCACAATGAGGACTCCAACCAGGAATGTCACCACAGGCCAGAGGAAGCAGTGCAAGAGGACAGTCTCATCATGGGTGCGCTTGAGCATCACATCATCTGGCCTATGAAGAGGAGGAACAGGAATAGGAGAAAATATAAATCAATTCAATATCATCAATCCATCATTAGTGGAAATCATCTACTATGGAATGAGGAAAGCTGTTTAATTTGCCACAGCGTTAGAAAATGATTAAGTGAACCATTTCATTCACTGCTTTCATTTGCCCCTTTATCACCAGAACTCGTGGTGGGCTATAAGAGCTTTACACTTGCAGTGTTTACAGGCTAACAAGTTTGTCTGGGTTAAAAAGAAAAAGGGGGAGCGGGGAGGGATTGGTACTTCAGGTCTTTCAAGGGTCACAATCATCACAAAGAGCTGTGAGAGATGCAGTATCACACTGACTGTGGATTGAAAAAGCACTGTAGCAAAAACATAATACACGGCAGCATTTATACCTCAAATGTCATCAGGCCCTGTGCAAAGTGTTCAAGTGTTTTAGCTTTGAGCACTGATGTGTCCATGGAGGCTCCTGCTGACGCAAGCCCTGGGTGCAGAGCTGATCCCTGCCCTCAGCACTGAACTGCTGGTGGCCCAGGCTGGCCCAGCTGCACTGGTAGCTGCACAGTGTCTATCCCCAGGAGGACTACAGCCTACCCTGGCGTGGCCAAGGCTCCCGTCTCAGCTCTTTCCCAGCAGTGGCTGTTTCAACAATAAGCTGTGATTTGGTGCTGCAAACAGCAGTGTCTGAGTAGGCTCCTACAGGGACACTTCGGGGAGCCTCCCCCAAACGTCTGAACCTCCATGCTTGCATCAACAGCATCTAACACACTGTCTGCAACAGGTTTATACATTTCCAAGGGAAATGGAGGGAAAATAGCAAGGAGGAAGCATCTCAAGATATTCAGAAATTTAGCTCTACCACGTGTCTGAAAGATCAGTTGTCCCTCCACCTCTTCCAAGTATGGGAAGTCGGTTGGGAAATCCTATGCCAGGTTTTCCTCAGCTCTTTCTGCTCTCCTTGCAGTTTAACAGTTACTGAATCAGTCTCATGGTATTTGCATTTTGTTGCTGCTTTCCCATCTACAGCCAGACACATACAGTCCCTGGAAAATTACCTACAAAGGAAAGAGACAGAACTTTCTCTAATTAGGAAAATATCTATAGTCTTGACTCATGTTGGTCCTCACTTAAATTGAACACTCCCATCACATGCTGCTCTGTCAGTGCTATCTGACACTCCTTGGAGCAACAAATCCCGCAGCCTAAAACCCTGCCAACCCAGGCTCATCCAGCCAGGTCCTGGGAATTAAGTTCTCCTAACACAGTGGCACATGAGAACTGATACCTGCTCAATGACTGTGCTGTCTCTCCCACAATAGCTTTATCCTGATCAGAAAGCAGCACCAAGAAAGCATTCTCTGTAGAGGAAAGAAGAAGAAACTCTTATTCTTTCACTGAGAAGTTGATTTATGGAGATGTTTGCAAATCTATGGAGTTTAATCCATCCTTAAGGAGTTAATGGAGCTAGACCGCCAAGCTACAACTTATCCCAGATTTAATTGCACCTGGATTTGCATTTGGGGGTCTCACCCAAAATTGCTATGCGAAGGATCCTTTTCACTGTGCCAACCTGCAAGTCTCCAAGGCTGACACCGTGCATCTCTCTTTGTTTGTGTAGTAAGGAGCAGAATAAGACTCTGATTATAAGCAGCTCAGCTATAAAAAATTTGAAATTCAGCAACATTAAAAATGATCAAAAGAACCCCAGGTGTATTCAACAGTGGAATGAGTGCAGTCTGCTTAACCAAAATCCTCCATATGTATAGGCAGGTGCGGGTGGAGACTATAAATTGAATGAAGTAGTAATAACTTTACAGGTACAAACTCCCCAGCCTATGCCATATGAATGACAACACCTGAACAGAAAAATCCTTTCACAAGAGGTATAATACTGCTTCCCTGCTACTTACTCTATCATCATCTGCACATAACAGAGTGCTAGTTGGCAAGAAGGCCATAAGTAGACAGTACTCAATCTTCACAACTCTAAGCTTACGAGTGACACTGAATTTTAAGTATTTTTTTGAAGCAAATACTAATCAAACAGTTCAAAAATAAGGGGCAAGAAAAAAACTAGAAAATTGGATTCAGTTAAAGGAAAGAAAGTGTGATTGGGAAAAGCAAGGTATCTTTTTGACTGAATCCTAAATGTTTTTGAAAGCATATGTACCAAAGCTAGCAGAGGTGGATGCCAAACACTCATTATAGGTGTGACTATAACTTAGTAATTTAGAAGAATTTCCCTTTGGAAAAGAGTCAAAGACAGAGGTCTTTAATTAAGCCTCAAGATGAGGTTTTAGTTCAGATGAGTATTATTACTATTCTTAGCTTCAGCAAGAGTCCCTGTGCAATTCTTAAATGGCAGAAGGTGTGCAGTGACTCACTGTCGACTGTGCACAGCATCTTTTCAGACAATGCATCAAGACGTGACTGGGTCCTCCAAAAACGCTTCATTAAATGGCTACTGGCACTACAATTAAGATAGTAAATGCCCTTCTTTAGTCAAGAAGGGGGAGCAGCACTTCTGGATGCTGACCTGACACACAGGAAAACTCTGGAAGCCTTTGGGATGTAGCCTTTTGGTACTGACTCTTGGCATAAAGAAATGGTGGGACAAATTTGGACCAATTCCCATGGTCCTGGGAACCTGAAGAGGTCCCAGTTGACTGGAAGTTGTCTAACTTTGTCCCAGATTTTGAAAAGGGCAAGAAGGATGACCCTGGAAACAACAGACCTGTCAGTTTCACTTCAGTGATTGGCAAAATTATGGAAATTATTCTGAAAGTTGTTGAAAAACACCTAAAGGACAACACAGTCATTGGTCACAGCCAGCATGGCCTCATGAGGGTAAAGTCCTGCTTGTCAAACTAAATTTCCTTTTATGACAAGGTAACCCAACTGGTTGATCAAGGGAAGTCAGTTGATGCAATCTTTTTGGATTTCAGCAAAGCTGATCTCTTCTCTGGGGTGACCAGTGACAGGACCCAAGAGAACGACCTGAAGTTGTGTCAGAGGAGGTTTAGGTTCGATATTAGGAAAAGATTCTTCACCCAGAGGGTGGCTGGAAGCTGGAACAGGCTTCCCAGAGAAATGGTCACAGTACCAACCCTGACAGAGTTCAAGAAACATTCAGACAATACTATCAGGCACATGGAGTGATTCTTTGGGTGGCCCAATGCAAGGCCAAGAGTTGGACTTGAGGATCCTTGTGGTGGCCTTCCAACTCAGAATATTCTGGGGTTCTGTTACACTCGAAACACAGTAATGTAACTGCTTTCATTTTGCATGGTGAGGCTAGCAGGTACTGAATCTGCAGTCTTGACTTTTTCTTGCTATTTTGTAAAGATCATCTGCCTGTTCCCAGGGTCTGAAGACTTGTTGTTTGGCCTGGAAACAGAAAAGGAAAGGTGCTGTGTCCCTGGGGGAAACCTTCTCATGATAAAGACATGTCTTTGCTGGAAGCCCCCACAGCATCACTCTCCTTGTGCGAGGCACTCATGTTGAACCCAAAGGAGGTATGTCATGCCTGGAAACTTGTTTATTTTCCCTGTAAAATCAGCAGATATAATTAAATGTATTGCCTTGTCCCTGTAAGTGTAGTGCATTTAATAAACCTGTCTTTACTCTATGACTTTCATATAACATTTCAGTTCAAAGATGCTGGCAGAAGGGTTGCACATATTCCCCCCAAGGTCAGTTAGTTATGGGAAATCTCTTGTTTCTATTGATACTGCCATTCAGCTTTCCAGTAAATGCAAAGCCCCTTGAGGCGATGCACCCAAACTCCTAACACCTGTTATCTGTGCACAAAACAGTGGCAGAGACAAGAAAGAGACCAAGGGGGAAGATAACCCAGAATACTTGCAAGCCCTGCTTAGACATAGAGACTTCATTCTGCTACAAACAGTGATGGCCATTATGCAGCACCACCATCACTGCCCAGCAACAGCCCCAGAGTGAAAAAAGAATGAACAAACCGAAAAATATCGCTGAAGGGGTCTCTATTTTAACCCTGAAAACACATTTTTCTCTTTTATTGAACAGGCAAGGAGGAAGGGATTTTGTTTTCATTGCTAAAAGGTGAGACCAGGACTTATTTTTAGCAGGACTTCGTGCTCAGGGCTGGACCCTTGTGGAGCTCTGAGCCAGGCTAATTGGATTAGTTGTTTCATTACACAACACATCCCTGTTAGGTGCTGCCAAGCAGTTCAAACAGACACCAGATAAAGCAGGCCTCCATTAGAACCTTCAGAGCCATTACGGAACATCATGGGAAGAATAGCAGTGCAGGAATTACCAAAAAGTCATGTAGGACCAAAAAGTTTCAGTCCCATAAACATTTCAGTCATCATTTATGAACCACACTGTGCAACTTATGTTACACAACGAAAGCTGACAGTCAGTGGGGGCATGGGATGGGGAAACCTTACAAGTATTTTTTTGCATTCAAGCAATCTGGAATTAAGATGCTTGCAATACACTTACTTTGCTCACAGTTGTTCACATCCCTTTGCTATGACAAGCAGTCATTTTTTCCCTTAAAGTTGCAAAATGCAGAGATCCTCAGCTAGATGGCTGCATGCAGAGGCAGCGCTCTGTTTTACTAACAATAAAGTCCTCTCCCTGCCGGCCCAAGCACTGCTCCACGGGTGATAAAATAAAAGAAAGGACAGGAAATAACAACACCCTCTTCTGACTGGACAGAATTAATTTAGAAAAGTGGGAAATAACAGAGCAAACCAAGATTTATGTTCCAGCACTTATGGATGAGCAGCCCTGCTGCCTGAGCACCCTTGGCTTCTACACATAATTATTCCCAGGTAAATAGGGACCCTGCAGGGTACCCCAACAACATACAGGTTGTTGCTAATCAATAGACAGTCTTTGCCCTTCAAGTCTCTGAGACAGAGAGGTCTGAGTTGACAGCAACCTTGGTTTCTTCTTTTTTGTTCTTGTTGTGGATGTCAGTGAGACTTGGAACATGAAGAAATAAAGCAACAGGATCTTCTCCACCCCACCTGTTTCTCCAGGCATCCTGTTTTAAGACATTTAGCTGTGACACTTGTTTGCGTGTGGTCCTGCCTACAGACCCCCTGGGACACTCGCTGTGAAATCCAGAACACTGAAGCACTAGAGCTCAGTGTCTTCTCAAACCTTTGGCAACAGCCTGAAAACTTTACCTGAATTTGTCCTTTATTTTATGCTCTGAAACACTGGGTTTTTATTTCTGTTGGGCAGGGCTTCCTTCAGACTGGAATATCATCATGCCAACACACAGGCACCTTCACCAGAGGTCCAGAAAAGCAACTTTCTCAAGCAACTGGCAACTTGCCGGCCAGAGAAGAGTAGCACACTAAAATAAGTGCCCACAGTGGCAAAGCAAAACCTCAGTTTTCAGTAAAGCGCTGAGCTCTAAGCTAAGGTGCTCTTAGGTTCCCTAAGATAAATGTCAGAGAGCTAGTTTTGCTGAGCATCTCAATTTATATCAGTCAAGAATGATTGAAATTGCCAAGTCTGCTTCTCATTCCTTTTGAACTGTAAGAATTGCATCTGTTTTTTCTTTTCAAAGTAGCCTGTTGAAATGTGCACCACCAAACTGGAGATGATACATAATAGTACACTCTGCATGCAGCAACAATTCTGACACAAAGCTGAATTAAGTTTGATGAAGAATAGATGATGTTAATTCGTTGCCTATATATTCACCTAGAATTTTATTCTGTCATTTCAAAAGGGAGACTATTAATACTGCAAATAGTACTCTCTCTAAGGAACTAATTTCTGTATGTTTTAACAGACTGAAACAGAAGAGTTAGCTTATTCATATAGCAAAAAAAATACTGACAGAGAACATGCCCACTTCTATTTTGAAGTGAACAGACTTTTCCCTTGGTTTGTTATGGGTTTTTTACTGCTTCACAAGCTGCTTAGTCATCGCTGCTCTAAAAGTATACCTAACATGCACATTCCTAGTCAGCAAAACTTATCTCCCGAAGTTCAGTCCTATCTCCAGTAGAAAATAAATGGTGTCCGCATTTTGGCTTAGACTATCTTCAAGTTTCTCTGGCAGTGAGCCTGTCTTCTGCTGTATATGAGTTGTTGTATGATCAGCAAAAGGCAGCATTTCAAGTCAGCCGTTGCACTGGCAAGAACATTCAGCAGTATAGGATTCAGTATCTTTAAGGAAAAAAACCTTGCCTGAGTGCTGCACAATTCCTCAATGTCAGCTTACATAAATGGCAGATGCTAGACGGTATGCAGCCTCAGAAAAATTTTGTCTTTTCTTCACCTACATATGATGTGAGAACCAGATCACATACCAACCTATGCTCCTTTACAGGAGATGAACACCTCTTGGCATCTGACCAATATTAGGCATTTATTTTGGGGTAAGATAAAAGGTTCCTCTTTGTCTCCACTGCCTAGAAAAGCTAATTTTCACAGCATCCTGTCCACACCAGTTCAGACAAATCCTAGCCATGACTTCTCCTTCAGACAATGCTATGCTTCTAACTCTCCTGCTCACTCAGGTGGTGGCTGCTGCAGGTCCCAGGTCTCAGGAAGCGCATGCCTGTTCAGAGAAGCCAAAATTATAACTTGGCTCGTGATTAGCAGACCCAAGCATTGGCACCTTGTGGACCAAAGGACCCCCTGAGAAGGTCCCTGGCACGTCTGATGTCACCACACAGGATGCCCTAACCTATGTGTGCTGTAGGCAGTTCTTCTTTTCCTTCTATAAAGAACAACAATTTTTGCTACAAATCATTGGTGGGATCCCTCTGCAAAGAGTTAACCAGGGCAACAGACTGTCATCCTGGGCACACTGACTAGGTCTCTCCATGGAGGGGACAATAATTATAGCCAGCCTAAGACAAACCTGAAGCCCCCAAGGCACTCAGTGGGACTCCCATAGCAGAGTCAGGCATTTCTCCACCTGCCACCCTGTTCCAGCTCCCCAGTTCATCCGAGGTCCTAGCACACACTGGCGTCCTTTTTGCTCCTGTTTGTCTAAATGAAATTGAATATCTGCTGCCAGGATTCCACACTGAGCCCTGAATTGCACCTGTAAGCCCCAAGCTATTCTCTCCTAGGTCTCCCTCATCTGTTTAACTTCCAAGTGTTTGTGGGGTAGGACTAAGCTCTTCCTGCTGCCACATCACTTTCTATTTCCTGGCATATCACCATCAGAAAGAGAGAGGCAAAAGGACTCCTTCCCCTGTCCTTTTATTGAAGGAAGGAAACCACATGTCACCCTCATACACATGTAAGTCACACCAATATCAGCAGTAAAAGTAAGAATTGAAAGGGAAGGGGAGATGCTTTAGCTTACAACTTTCTACTCTGCAAGCATTTATGAAATCTGGCAGTTCCACGAATGCTTATTACGTATACCTGATTCATTAATCCTCTGTGTACACAATTCTTGAGTTAGTATGTAGTATTTACTGATCATTGCCTTTCTTCCATGAATACAGTAGGGTTTCTTCTCCGTGGAGGGAAGGAATGTTAATATCCAAGCCAGAAATCTGCCATCTGAGTGTTAAAAGCCAAGATACTTTTTGCCATAAAAACTGTGTGGAGTTTTGTATTTTTACTTCAAGTGGTAAAAACACTCCTGTGCCTTCTGTATAGTTTTTCATCAACAGAATTGTCTTGCACAGTTCTGTACTGAGTTCTGTGGGATAAACGACATCACTCAGGGCATGAGGGGGGTGTATACATGTGCATACATTTATATATATTTTCAAACAAAGCCAGTGGACAGCTGTTAAACAGATGCATAAGCACTTCTGCCTATGAAGATTACTCACCTCAAGTGCTGGTTAAAATAGCATGTAAATGGTTGAGAACCCACTTTCTCTTTCCAGTATTTCTGCTTGTACGTGACGTTCTCAGAGTTCTCCTGATCATCTCTTGCACAGGGAGGGATGTACGAACACTGCCAAGACACGTTGCAAAACAAAGTTACTTCTGTGCTCAAGTACACAGGGCATCACTTCTCTGTTTTCCACAATACCAGCTTGACTGAAACGGACAGAGAATAATAAGGACAAGCTCCAAAGACACAGAAAAGAAAAGTTAGCTGAAGTTTACTTCAGTGGTTAATTACTCCATGAAGGTACTGGAAAAGAATATGCCAGCATTCAGAAACAAAATAAAGGTTTTGTCATGTTTTGTTCCATTATCAAACCAAGCTGCCTCATAACACCTTGGGGGTTTGCGTGATGAATGTGAAAATAATTGTTTCATTTTGATGAATTCATAACCAGCTGCCAGGATTGGATTTGAATAACTTCCTATTTTCAGTGAGGCATGTAATCATAAGTTTCATTTAGTATCATGCTAATAAATAACTCAAAGAGTCCAGCAAGCTTTCCCAGACGATGGGATATCTGATAATGTGGCTGAAATCCACTGGTAAAAGAAGGTATTCTTCCATTCTTAGAGCAGAGGGAAACAAGCAACAAAGTTCACAGCCTCTCTTCAGCAGAAAGTTCCAGCATCTGTTTCTGCTGTACAGAAGTCAAAAAGAGTTGAACATGCAGCTGAGCTATCTGCAGATCTCACCCTCATACATCTGCTTCAAAGCCTAAAGAAATCAAGGAAAATTCCTCCCTCAGCTTGGTGCAGTTGGGATTGGGCTTTCAGAGGCTCCACTTCAGGTCACATACACCCCCCCTCTCCCCTACTTAGTTTCCAAGTCTTGTCTTTGACACACCACCCTTACCTCCTAGCCACAGCCAGTTAAACAATAGAAAACAAACAGTCCACAGAATCAAATGCTGGCAGTATCAGGATCTCAGTGTCCAAGAACAATCTCTCTTATTTTTACCAGGCATCCATAGAGGAGATCATTACAGGAGATGTTGAACCATCTGAGTAATGCAGCTTAACGGATCCTCAGATAACACAAAGGCTTTTTGCCCTGCAGGACAGATGGACACCAAGGCTCCAGGTGCACACACAGAATTTTAATTCCTTTAAAATTGGGAGCTGCAAACAAAAAAAAAGTGTGACTATGAAGGTAGCTAAAAAGCCTCCTACTCAGGTAGGATGAGGAAGCAGGAGGTGTAGGCAGTGGGAAGCCCCTAAAGGGGTGCCCACATATGACCACAACATTAATTTCTTCACAGTATCCTGAAGGCAGTAACAACAAGTAGAGAGATATCCTTTTAACATGAAAATAAAGATCACTGCGACTCACTGTGCCTAGTGAGTTCTTCCTCTCCTTCTGGTGAAGTTTCCCAGAGGGCCCACCTTGCCCCCAGCTGCACACTATACCCGAACTGTACAGACCTACATGTCCATCTCCACCAGACAGCAGCTTGAAGCTTTGCCATTCCAGAGAGAAATCTCAGGATTTTATTCCCTGAATGATGTAAAATCTGATCACTTCTGTCAGCACATCCAGTTGTTGTCAATGTCTTCCATGCTTCAGATTCAAAGAATCTGCAAGGTTTTCCATTCTGCTTCCAAGCTGAAACTTGCCTTTTTTCATGTGCAAGGATCCCCATTTTCACATGGACCCACATCTGGTGTTGCCACAGCACAGAGCTCTCTTTAGTTCCCTTTTCAGATGACCCTAAACAAGGATGCAGACTACAGAGGACAGAAACAAGCAGCACCACCACTCTACTTCAGAGTGCAGGATTTATCACATATGGTTATTGCCATCTTAGACAATACTCCCTGGTCAGCAATGTTTTTTGTTTGATTGTGTGCTTTGGAAGCATCAGGCACCCCCCTCTTTCCTGCACGTCCCCAGTGTATAAACACATCTGTGCAGCAGCTGGATGGAGTCAGCAAATTTGGTACAAAGACACCCAAGTGCAATACTGGTTCTGCTCTGCCACCATGACATCCCCAACATGCTTCAACCATGCCAGCTGGTCCTCTCTTCCCTGTTTGGCCCACGGTCCAGCACTTTCAGCCTCCACTCTGATGCTTTTCTTTATGAAGCATTTCAGATCCTGCTTTGGCAATGGTACCATATCCCACCAGTTGTACACTGACTGCCTATGTCTGACTGTAATCACCATCCTGCTCTTCCCCAAGCCCCCAGCTTGTAGGTAGCCCCCAGCTTCTGGGGTCTCTAAAAAGAGCTCCCCAAACCAGCCACTATTTAGCCAGTACACAAAATGCAGAACTAGACAAAACAACCAAGCACCAATACACATTCTTCTGCCTAAATTTCCTCAACTATCTCAAAAACCACTATTCCTGTGGAATACACATATTCCTCCTCTCCTCTGAAATGTTTCTTTCTTGTGTCTACAGCCTACTGCTATGCTCTGCTACAAAAGTGCACACACCCTACCACTCCTGGCTAAACTTTCTCTGGATCATTCAGAGACCTTCCACTCCTACAAAGTATTACATGAATCCTTCACGAAGTTCACAACCTGGTGAACTGTTTATAGCCCCATCCTGAGTTTTAGGCTTAGAAACAACCACAAAGGTCCCTTTTCCCAAGAGATGCCCATCTGAACAGAAAAGTATAAAGCTGTAATAGTCTCCCAGGACAGTTACATCACAGACTACTTCACAATTTCTGCTATCAGGTCCTACACTTTTAGCTCAGTAAGAAGATATTAAACATTGAAGTTTTCAGAGCAGGGATTTTACTTCATTTGGAAGATCTAAAGGGGCTCACAGACAACTTCTCTCTTCAACACTTCTGTCTTCCCCATGCCTAAGCAAGACAGTGTGTGGGAGTATTGCTAGTACCTACAGGAAGGACACCTGGAAGTTGAGGACAACAGTGAATCTCTGTAACTCAAACTTCACACTATTCTCTGCACAGGTAGTCCCAATGACAGCTGACAGAAAGCATGCCGGATACATTTCCACATCTTTATCTTCATGTGGAAAACACAGAGGGGACACCCTGGGTCCTGCTATAAATTAATGTGACCTCAATGCTTGAACCTGTTGAGGATTAACAACCTTGAAGGGAGAAGTGGTGTCTGTCCAAACAAAACCCCAGGGGTCACCGTGAAACACCAGCTCAAAGTGATGAAGGTCTTGAGCCACAGTGAACACCAAAGGTCCAATTCTAATGTGAACTCATCACCTGCTGCACAAACAGTGGAGCTCGTTTGCCTCCCCAGGTTGCCAGCATAGTCCCCACCAACCCATCGCACATTTCTTCTCCTGATCCATGTAAGTGGTGGATCTCTCTTTACTCAGCCTCCCCAGCACACTTCTTGGGGACTTTATTTGGTCAGCTGTATTGCCCTCCAAAGTATAGTCAGCAATCAGATAAAAGGGAATTGTAATTTTCACTTCAGCAACAGGCAGTTTTCTGAAACATTAATTATGCAGTCCTCCCTCACAGGACATGGCATAAAATATTGCCATCAAAACATAAACAAATGCCAGCTGTTTGAAAACAAGCTAGAACACCTAGTGCTCAATTGCAGCTCACAAAGAAACATCCATTTTCAGTGGAAGTATCCCACTCTATATTGCTTTGATGTTTTTTTCTTAAACAAGTGACAATGAAGTTGGAGAATAGCGCTTAAGATTAGACAGACAGAATAAATCTGATGGATCAGACTCCTTTTTGGTAGATCTTTTGATACGTGGTGCTGTAATTGCACCTCCTACACTATGCCATAGCAACAATAAAATTATTGTGTAATTCCAATACAGTCTCAATTACAGAGCTCAAAATCGGTATCAGGCTAATAATATTCCCTCTTCAGTCAAAACCAGGGTTTGGCTAGATGGCTCAGGATTCAATTCAATAAAAATGTCAGTGAACCCCTAATAGATCTTTACACCAAGGTTTTGTAAGATTTGTGTCTGTGTTTGCTGCTGGATGCTCCCACTTCAGTCTCTCTGCAGATGTGTGAGAAGATTCCTGGTCCTTCTGAACACTTCACCAGAGCAGATATTCTTCCACATCAGAGAGAAAGAACAGAGGCTTGAATTTGCAACGACGGTTTAACTTCCAGGTTGCTTTTCATGCTTTTGAAAGACTAATTCTTGCCTAACTCAGTTACATTTTTAAGAAACGGGAGACAGACTTGTTAGGTTGTGAGGGAAGCTGCCTCAAGCCTGGAAGACACAGTCTACAAGGCAAGACCAGGAAAGTCTTAAATGCAAATAGACATAAGTAGAAGCAAGTCAGCCCAACAGCAGACAAACCAATGTCACTAAGGAGCAAGCCTCCAAACTCAGTTGACTTGTTGAGGACCATCCTCCTGACTGCTGGTGAACGTAGGGACAGAGCATGTACCATTTGTTTGGCTGGCAAAGCTCCACATCATATGCAGCACAGTTTGTGAAGCTTTGTGATGAAATGAAGGAGCGGTAAGGATGCTGTAGGTAAGTATCACTGCAAAAGTACAACACTCCACTAAAGCCAACAATTTCTGGCTCCTGATCTTCAGGTGTATTGGGTTTGCTTGGCAAGGTTTTTGTAGTGGAGAGGCTGCAAAAGTGGCTTCTGTGAGAAGCTGCCAAAAGTTTCTCCCATGTCTGACAGAGCTGACAGAGCCAATGCCAGATGGGTCCGGGACAGACCCATTGCTGGACTCCAATCAGCAACAGTGCTAGAGCCTCTGGGATAACGTATTTAAGGAGGAGAAAAACTGCTGCACAACAGTAGCCAGGAGAGAGAATATCTGAAAGAAGCAACCCTACAAACACAAAGGTCAGTGAAGACAGAGGGGGGAGGAGGTGCTCCAGGTGCCAGAGCAGAGATTCCCCTGCAGCCCACAGTGAAGACCATGATGAGAAGACTGTTCTTCTGCAGTCCATGGAGATCCACAGTGGAGCACATACCCACCTGCAACCTGTGGTTGACCCCACACCAGAGCAGGTGGCTATTTGAAGAAGACTGTGGCCCCTTGGGAAGCTTGTGCTGGTGCAGAGTCCAGGCAGGACCTATGGCCCTGTGGAGAGAGGAGTCCATGCTGGAGCAGGTTTGCT